TTACCATCAAATGACTGTTAGCCTGGCTCTTATACACATCTAGATGTGTATAAGAGACAAGTATTTACATTTTTTTATGATCTATAGTACAGTGTTGAATTTGAATATTGTAAGTAGGTTTATATCAACAATTATTTGGGTTGGCTTGGTTAATTTAAATTTTGGAATGTACAAAAGTAAAATTGAAAATATTACAACAAAACAGCCACAAAGTTTATCCACACAATGAAACATTGACAAAAAATTGAATAATATCTTCACCCCAATGAATTCATGTCATTGAACTGTTAACTTCAGTTTTATTCCATCAGCTTGCTGTGTAGTACAAAGTGAATCTAAATAAAGGAATACTGAGTAGGCCTACTAAAAATGATACGAAATAAAATATTTGATGTGGTTGACATTGTTTCTATTTTTACTTTTCAATTACACTTGTACTTAAAATTTATTTAAAATATTTATTTTCCCAAGTGTAATTGAAAAGTAAAAATAGAAAAAATGTCAACCACATCAAATATTTTATTTCGTATCATTTTTTTTCTGAACTTTGAAATTGTAACGAATAAAACATCTTCGACTCATTAATACAAACATAAGATAGTATTTATTTTTGTGATTCGCTTTTGTATAATAATATAACTAGTTTTGTTAGAATTAATAGTTATATATTTTTTTATTACACCATTTAATTATAGTATGGCATCGCACTAAGTTGCTATTAGTTACAAATTACTGCTATTGCCAAGACACTATTATATTGTACTGGTTCCAAGTGTGCAAGTTTCCTGTTGATTAGAACAAGGACCATAATATCACAGTTTAACTCAGGTCACTTTTAATTGCCCTTATATAAAATAAGGTTTATTTTATCTCTATTCTAGAATTGGTGCATATTTTTCCAATCCCTTTGCCACTTACAAGGACAAAACAAACGTACCGTGGTAGCGCATTTATCTCATGTCAAATTCAATATTAACACTGGAAAAACTAACAGATTATTTGTCGGTACAATTAATAAATGATGTGTCTAGATACATAAACAAATAACAGAATACAAAACCAAATCATTTGTCAATTGAGTTCTGAATAGCTTTTGTCTCCAATGTAATTAGTGTCTTAGACTCAGCTAAAGATAACAATGTCATATAACTTGTGTTTTTATAACAAAGACTCAGTCTCGATACATACGCTCTCTGCGTTTAGATTAATCAATAAAAATACATTTTCTATCTTGCTATTTATTTATTTTTATTATTATTGAAAAAATAATTCACCTTGAAAACATTGAAGAGGAATAATGACGATAATAACAATAGGTCTATACAGAAATGCGCCAATCAGGGGCACAGCCAGGGTAAACTTTTAGGGAGTCAAGCCTTGCGAGCAAATAGACTGGGGTCAGTGGACCTACAGAGCGCCCCGGTCAGGATCAAGGGCCGAAGACCCCGGAAAAGTTGCGTTATTACGTAATAAAATATAGAATTGAGAGGTTTCACGATGTTAATGTGCAAAAAAGAGATTTCACTCTTCCGTGGTTCTAACAAAGGGTAATGATTTTATAACCATGAGCCTCCAATGAAGGCCTATTTTCAATAGGTCTTAAAAGCAGGCATGTTGTGCTATTACCTACAGCAAGCATTTTCTTAGACATGATAAAGCGTACATGTGGCGGATCCAGGAATCGAAATAGAGGGTGCCAAGAGAGGGACTTTCACAAATGGAGAGTAGTCTAGAACACCTCAGGCCCACCGTGGTTGTGGCTGAGGTAAGAAAAAGTTTTATTATGGCACCTCTAGATGGCCGGAAATGGCGCTCTCAGACCTAAATATGATTAATAGTCCTATTCACATTCTTTCCCTTTTTGAGAATTTTGAAAAATTTTGAGGGTGGGGTGGGGGATGTACCTTGATTTAAACAGTTTTTTTAAAAATTTTAACTAAATCATTACTGTACGCACAACAATCGAGATTTCTGGTGACATGGCATGTGCGGCGGGTCTGTAAATCATAAAGGACCTGGTAGGCCTGTATTTTCATATATTATGTTTTTTTTTTTCACATTACTGATAATTTTTCCGAAAGTTTTGATTAATTTGAGAGGGTCAGGACACCGGGAACTCCCCCCCCCCACCGGCTGCACCCCTGTCAATTTCAAAACTATAATCGAAGAGACAGTGTATGTTAAGATTAAGTGTCAAATAAACGTAATAAACATAATAATAAAAAATATAAATCTAACAATAATGAAATAATAAATAAATGTGTATCACTATCCAAGTGGTCCATTTATTTTTAGCTAATATAAGATCATACAAACTCCAAAAAACTAAGAGAAGCTGTAGTGAATCACTATGGCTTCTCTTAGTATTTTTGGAGTCCGCATGATCTTATACTACTTCACTAAAGATAATCGAATAATACAATCTATCAAAGTTTGATCAAACACATGTATGTGTGACAGACAAAATCGTTTTTACTGAGCATGCAGTCCGACACTGCCTTTGGATTTTTGTCAAACTTGACTGACCATTCAAAACAGGACCATGTGCATGTTCAACAGACTCCAGTGTGTCTATGTACGCTTACATTGTCGTTTTAGCAATTAAATTTAACAATTACATGGCGTAGCGAAAAGGTCCGTCCATTTCAAATTAAAATAAGCACAGCTTACAAAAATAATTCAGAAATTTCAATTCCATCGCCATCGTTAATGTATGATGATTGCACTTTGAATAAGTTATAGTTTTGTATGTAAATAGATTTGTTGGTAAATTGATTCCAAATAATGAGAAAAAAAAAAAAAAAACGGTGTTAACATACGAAGGAAAT